TCCCTTTCGGGAGGAAAAGAAAATTAGAACATTTTTGAGAGAACTAAGAACTTGTATTGTATAAATTTTCTTGTGTGTTTACAGATGAAAGAATGATCTCCTTTTATAGGAGGGAAAAGATAAGATAGACGTTATCTAAAAGCAAGGAATCTTTGCTTTTTTCAAAACGTCAAAAAGTAAATAGTAAAAACTATCCTATCAAATCTTACTTTATAAAATAGTAAGATTCTTTTACAAATTTTTCAAAAAGTAAATAGTAAAAAACCTTCAAAAGTCTTGACGTCTGGACAAAAATCTTCAATCAATAGATTCTTTTTCTAGAGGTTTCTTGTCTTTTCTCCAGCTGTCTGATTGTTTCTTTACACCTGTCTGAAAAATCTCTTATCTTGTTGCATAATTATGTCTGCCAATACTGTCTAAAGAATCTCCTCCGTCAGTAAAGTCTTCTGGGTTATCTTCTGAATTATTATCTTTGAATTCATCCAAATCTCTTTCTTGTTCAATTTTCTTTTTACCTTTATTTTTCTTTCTAATTTGTAATTTCTTTTTCTTCGTCGTACTTTGTTTAACTTGTTGCTGAATCTCTTCAATCTTTTCAAACATTTCTTTGATCTTTCTAATATCTGACTGAGAAATTTGTTCTGGGTCTTGAGCTGATTGAAATGATCCTGGAAAATTAATTGAGCTTTTCTGTTTAAGATCTATTGGACTAATAAGTCTTGTAGCAGAATTATCAGTCTGCTGTGTCTGTTCTTTTATAACAGGATTTTCAGCCTGTTGAATATGAGAAGTAGAGGAATCAACAGTCCCCTGAGTCTGTTGATCTTTTGGTAAGCCCAGAACCATAAACGGATTTGATAAGTCTTTACCAGCTTCCGTTTGAGCTGGACTAGCTATAGAATTCTTGGGCTCTATAGTACCTGCTTCTGTCTGAGAGATAGGATTTGAAATTTTTAAATTAATAATCTCTTGTTCTAAATCAGAGATTTTCTTTTGTAAAACTAATTTCTCTTGTTGTAAAGTCTGGTTTGATTCATTTAAAATCTTAAAGTTCTTTGTCATACATTCACAATGATCACAAAATCTTGAAAAATAATCTAAAGGTTGGTCTGAAACATTTTTTAAAGAAGGAGCAATAAAATAATTTGCACCTATAAATTT